GAAGGAGGAGGAGGAGGAGGAAGAAGAAGAAGAAGAAAAAGAAGAAGAAAAAGAAGAAGAAGAAGAAGAACAAGAAGAAGCAGAAGAACAAGAACAAGAACAAGAAGAAGCGGAAGAAGAAGAGAAGGAGGAGGAGGAGGAGGAGGAGGAGGAGGAGGAGGAGGAAGGAGGAGGAGGAGGAGGAAGAAGAAGAAGAAGAAGAAGAAGAAGAAGAAGAAGAAGAAGAAGAAGAAGAAGAAGAAGAAGAAGAAGAAGAAGAAGCAGAAGAACAAGAAGAAGCAGAAGAACAAGAACAAGAAGAAGAAGAAGCAGAAGAAGAAGAGGAGGAGGAGGAGGAGGAGGAGGAGGAGGAGGAAGAAGAAGAAGAAAAAGAAGAAGAAGAAGCAGAAGAACAAGAAGAAGCAGAAGAACAAGAACAAGAACAAGAAGAACAAGAGGAGGAAAAGGAAGAAGCAGAAAAAGAAAAACAAGAAGAAGAACAAGAAGAGCAGGAGGAAACCAGGAGAAGGCGAAGGAGAAGCAGGAGCAGCAGCCGTGGTTCTAGGGAACCTTCAGAATGACAGCCCGCAGCCTTGCTTTCTTTCTTATTGAAGGTTTGGGATGGTCAACAGCCAACGAGGGGGCGGCAGGGAAGGGGGGTGGGGGGGAGAGAGAGAGAGAGGGAGAAACAAAAGACGTCCAGTACAGGAGGGAGGGGTGGGGTGGGGTGGGCGGCCCTTGGGGCTTGGCAGGAAAAGCACAAAGACCCCCTCCTCTTGCTCTTGCCTCTTTTCCCCCTACCTTCCTCCCGGGCGGATCGGAGTTCGATGCGGGTTTTCTGCAGGGCTTCCTCCAGCTCCGCTGAGCGGGCCTTCTCCTTCTCCAAGGCCACCTTCAGCTCATTGTACTGCAGAGGAACCTGTGTGGGCAAAGAAGGGTCCTCTTTCCGTCGACTAAACAGGCCCTAGCAACAGAAACACACAGACAGCTCCTAACTCCTGGTCAGTGATGGCTGCCTCCGGGTGAGGGGGAAGGGAAAACGCTAGCTAGCGGCAGACCAGAGGGTCTGAGGGTCTCTTCCTCCTCCCCTCCCCTCCTCCTCTCTTCTCCCTTCCTTCCCTCCTCCTCTCTTTCCTTCCTCCTCCTCCCCTCCTCCTCCTTCTTCCCTCCCCTCTTTCTTCTTCCCTCCTTCTCTCCTCCCCTCCTTATCCTCTTTTCTTCCTCCTTCTTTCCTCCTCCCCTCCCCCTCTTCTCCCCTCCTTCCCGCCCCTCTTTCTTCTTCCCTTCTCCTCTCCCCCCTCCTCACCCTCTTTCCTTCCTCCTCCTTTCCTCCTCCTCCTCTTCTTCCCTCCTTCTCTCCTCCCCTCTTCCTCTTCTTCTCCTCCTCCTCCTCCTTCCCTCCTCCTCCTTTCCTTCCCTCCTTTCCTTCTCCCCTCTTTCTTTTCCCCTTTTCCTCCTCCTCCCCATCCTCTTCTTTCCTCCTCCACCTCCTCTCCTCCCCCAATTGCCCGGTCCAGCATTTTAAAGATAATTTCTCCCCCTCCCCTCAGCTTGGCCCATCTCACAGAGATCATAAGCCAGGCTAACAAGAAGAGGAAACTGGGCGGCCATTTATCCAGAATGGAAGAACAGGTAGTCCTGGACTTATAACCACAACCGAGCCCAAAATTTCTGTTGTTCAGTGAGACATTGGTTAAGGGAGTTTTGTCCCATTTCACGAACTTCCTTGCCCCAGTTGTTAAACGAATCGCTGCAGGGGACAGTTAGTAACCTGGCTTTCCCCGTCGACTTTTTTTCAGGGTTAACTTTGAGTGGCCCGCTACGTGAACCGTTATAAGTCGAGGACTACCTGCATATGAATATGACCACAAGGCCAGGGGTCCGAAGACAAACTCAAGGAACTTTTGAGGGGCTGGGGAAATCCAGTGGGATTTGGGGGCCACCTGGAATCCCTCTTCATTTCCCCCAGTCTTCGAAAACTCAGACGGACAGCCGCTGCCTCCTGCCTGCTAAGTTAATTTCTGGCGTTCGTATATTTTGCACACCTTTTTCTTCTTGGCTGGCTGATCCATCTTCGCTTGGAGGAAATCTATAAGCTTGGTTTGTTGGGAAATAGTGCCTTCCATCTTCACTTTTTCGTGGGAATACAGGACCTTTTGCGACACGGAAAGGGGGAAGGGAGAGGAAGGTAAACCAGGAAATCACCACGGGCGCGAAAATCAACCCGAGGGAAATCCGTAAAAAAAAAAGTTACTCCCGGCCTGCGATGCTCTATTCTCTCACCTGAATATTCTCCAGCTGGTATTCCAGGTCGCTCCTTTCGGTCTTCAAAAGGTCGGCCCGGTCCAAAGCCTCTTGCAGGCCTTGAGTCAGCCGAAAGATGTGGTTCTTCTGCAAATCCATCTGCTGCTGCAGCTTGGCTTGCTGGGAGGGGAGGAGGTAAAACCCAGGAGGGCAATTATAAAATATTCGGAGGGAGGGAGGCAGGAATAGGAGAAAGACCGAGAGGAGGAGAATTGAAAGAGAGATTAGGAGGGACGGAGGGAGGGAGCGAGGAAGAGAAAGACAGAAAGGAGAAGAACTGAAAGAGAGATTATGAGGG